TTAGTTATCACATGCTGCAGAGCTTTGTGTTTGTTAGCTGTTCTTCATAAACTCATATATTTTAATAGAAATGCAATTATGGAAGATGGAATAGGATATAAGCATCCACGGCGCAGGATTTACACGGATGCGTTTCAGATCGTCTCTAAAGCCCAGCTCCGTCCTCAGCCAATGAAATCTCGCTGTGCAAACATACCGAGGGTGACGTGTTGCCTTCTGATGGATTTATTGCTCACCGGCAATCAAACTGATTGTGCTGCTATTTGTTTATTAATTTATTGCGCGGGGTCGTTCTCCTCTGAGGTATCACTTTCGATTTTCGTGCCCCTGCGGGAGCGCGCAGACAGACGCGTGCCCACAGAAGAAGTGTGTTTCCCCACCCAAAGCATGCATAAACAAGCACATCGCCAGACGGCACTGAGTTGACCTGTAAGTTTGTTCAGATTTTGCTGATTCTTATTAAAAGAGAAATAATGAGGAAGAGGAGCAGACACTGCTGAGTCTAAAGACTGCAGATTCGTGTTTACATTATGTGGAAAAAGTGAAGGTTTGGCTGTAACTGTGTGGGCACCGCTAATCTCGTGATGCACAGGTCTATACAAGCCTAGATGCTAAACATTTTTCTGTTTGTTTGTTTTTTAGATATTATTAGATAGACCCCATCTTTGTCATTAATTCATGAAATAATGAAATAAAGTGACTCATCTGTGAAAAAGAAACATTAAAGGAGCAGTTCAACATTTAGGGAGCTAAAGGAGTGCAGATAAATGCTCAAGAGAATGTGTATTTGAGCGTTTTTCAGCACACAGTTATTATCATGTTATATCTGTTTGTTCTTGCACATCCACCTAAGGGTGCAGGGAGATCTTTGAGGCTGTGCAGCGCATGACCACTGGAGAGCTCTGCCTGCAGCACTGAGCTCTTTTAGAAGTCAGCTAAAGACTTAAATAGTAATGTTATGGCGTGTATCATCCCCCACCTAAACCAACCCCACTCTGCATGTGCGTAGGCGCCTGCTTTTCCCCCAAATCATGGCTATGCTCACTCACTCACTCTTAAACTCTATTTAATTGCGATTGATTTTGTCAAACGCCAAAAGATGTTACTAGCATATTTTAATTAAACTTTTTTTGTCGATCTACAAATGTTTCGATTACAATAACAGCAAAAGAGTGGCCATCTTTAGGGGGATAAAATGTGTTTTTTCATCATAAAGACTGTGATGTGATTACATGAAATGGTCCCTTCAGTATTGCTGCTGTGAGAAAGAAGTTTTGACACATGCTAGTTTTTAATAAAAGGTTTAAAACAAAAACTGTAATATTCTCTTTTGGCTGGATGGTTTTTGTCTGTTTGTGTTTATAAGTGTAAATTATATAGTCGGTGGTAATACAATCAATTTTACTTTTTATTGTCCGTGTTTGTTTGGTGATTGGTGATTCTAAATTGGCCAGAACTGTGAATTGTTGTCTGTCTTTATCTGTCATGTCAAACAGTTCCTTTAAACCTCAGCTTTCAACATGCAGAGGGGTTTCCAGGCAGGCCTCCTGCTCCTGCTTGTCCAACTGTTCCAGGAGGGTCCGGGAAACATCCCAGCCATCACCCTGGCTGTCCTGGGATTCAATGTGTACCTGTACGTGTTTCCTCCTGCTCCACCACTGAAGGTAACTCCCCACTGTAACATTATATGATATTATATAGATTGAATAAGAGTGGTATGATGAAATGATGGGATTTAAAGATGGGGTCGTCTGATTGTTGGAGTTTCTATGAATTATTGTAAAGTCTTTACCTCATGATATGAAGCGCCTTGATGTGACTGTTGCTGTGACGAATAAAATAAAATTGAACTGAACTGAGGAAGCTAGCCAGCCAAATACACGTATACATTGAGGGCCCTGCTGCTCTCTGGCAGGTAGCTCCATGCCCTCCTGGGTTTTAAATGCACCTTAGAACACACAT